TTATGTATTTGCTATGTGATTAAGAGTTTGCTTAAAAAACCTAACTTCACGTATGTGTTATCAAGAAAAGATGCACTTATGATCAAATCGTTACTACTACTTGACGTCTGTGCGTTTTGGAGGTTAGGTTTTATGTGTAAAACGCTTGATCGCACATCAAATACATAATTTTCCATGTCATTCTTTTTTGATACTAGATTTTTATATTTCTCTTATCGAGATGTTATTGTTGATAACTACATATATTTTTATTATTTGTTTACATAATAAAATTGTTTAAAACAATTTAACGAGCCGCAATCCGTTACGCGTAATCTAATAAAAATCTGCAACGAATTAATTTTATTAACAAAATGCGTCAGCGAGAATACGAAACGTGGGAATATATTTAATAAAGTTAATTGTTAATTAGACATGTTTGTTTATTTGTTAAAGATTTGAACTATTTCAAGAATTTTTTAGACCGATAAATAAATCCTTAAGTCTTGCGTGTAAAAAAATGAGAAGTAGATATGCAACTATTTTGGCACTTTATTTTCTTGTTAAATAATTAAATCTTTAAAACTTTTAAAAACTTCTCTTTACTCAAAATGATTCAAGCAAATTCAAAGCTTTACTAGAGCCATTAAATTAAATTTAAGATCCTGATTTATCCTGATGTACAAATTCAAGAAATTTGAAGCGACCAAAATGTATTTACCACTAAATAATTTTTACCAAGGTATTTTACGAGATTTTTACATGGTACAAGATCCATACAATAAAGCCAAAACAATTACTGAATGTCCTAAGTGTGACATATTGTTATTAATTTATTTTATTTTATTCATTTATTTATTAAAATAGCAATCAAGATGCAATTTAATCTTATAAGCTTATATATTGTAACACAAACGAGAGGAATCGAAAGAAAAAAAATAATAATAGAAGAAAGAAAAAAAAGAAATAATTATCTAGAGTTTACTCCAATGATTGAAGCCTAGTGTTTTATTTAAGGGTTATTAACAATGTTAAAAAAAAATTTAAAAAAATCTCATTAGAGAGGAGGACCTTCATGCAAGATTCAATATGAGCACATAAACTTATAAAAGTTAATTCTATTTCTGATTGTTTAAAATAATAATAAAAGAAATTAGGAGCAAGTTAAAAACTAAGATTTTTTCTCAAAAAATGATATTTTTTTTTACATCAAAACTATAAAGATATAATGATGGCCTAATATATAATATTTAATTTTGTAATTCGGCTATTATTACTACTATATATTTATATTTTGATTATTAATAGTATTGAACAACAGATTCAAATTTAAATTCGGTGGATTTTTTTAATAAAAGCCACAGCAAAGCGCGGCCGGGTCTATTAGTATATATATATATATATATATATATATAATTTATAATATATAATTTATGTTACGCATCTATTACAAAATCAAGGAAGAGACACACATATAGTTTTTTGCTAGTTATAAACAATCAGATTTCCACTCCGTCTAAATTAATAAAATAGGCCGTTATATAATATAAACATTAAATCTTTCATATAAATAGTTTATAAATTGCAATTTGCAATAAAAATTTAGTTGTTTAATTGATGTTTACACTTATGCAACTCCTTTGCGTTTTACATGTGTTTCAAATTTAAACAAATTTTAAATGACACGAATATAAACTATTTTAACTTAAAATTCGTAATGGTGCTCTCTCTCTCACACACACACATATATATATATAATATATATATATATGTGTGTGTGTGTGTGTGTATATATGTATATATGTATATATGATATTTCTTTTGGCATATAAAGATCGCACAAATGCCCATCCAGTGTATTACTAGGTCAAACAAAAGTAAGCAAACGCCATACTATCCGATATTATGATATTCAGTTTCGCAGATTTCATTTCTACCAGATACAGAAAATGTATACAATTACATATATACATATATATATATATATATATATATACGATGTATAAATCATATATACATGTGTATCAGAACATTTAATTAAATTTTGCAAGTGCATAGTTTAAGCGTTTTATCGACGTTACTGCAAAAACTTGTTCTCACGTTATTCACTATGTTCTATATAGAAATATACATATATACATAAATTTATATATATATATATATATATACATATATATATATTTAAATAGATCATCATTCCAAGTGCTTGGATCGATCAGAACCAATACTAAAAAAATATAGAGTAAAAAGAGTATCTTATTATTTATAAGTTAATTCAATATCGACCTGAAAGATTAAATCTCGGAATTCGCGAGTGGAAAGGGTTAAAAGAGAACTTACGACCTGATCCTTGACCTGAGAAGGTAAAAGAGCAAAGAGCGCGATAACTAGTTTTTGGGGAAGACAGGTCTAGCGATTTCAAAATTTTGAAAATACATCGAAATTTCCAAAAAATTTAAATTTCAGAATTTTCAAAAAAAAAATTGCAAAATGAAAAAAAGACTTTTTGTACTTCGACAACGAATATTGTCGACTTTTTGTATTTCGACAATGAATGAATATTGGATTTCATTAAAATTTTGGTAAATATACAAAGTTTTTAACAATTTTAACTATATTCTTATTCAGATCAGTTAATTTTAACTTTGCAATTCCGTTTCATAATATTTATATAATAAAAGTAATAAGCCATCGATCACGTGATCGATTTTTAAGAATTTTTGGATCCAAAATTTTAACCAACACCATGAGTATTTTCAATACCTAGAAAAAACGTAACATTTTTGGATTTTCTTTTTTGAAAAATTTGGTTTTTTCATTCAGATTTAGGTAAAAAATAAATACCCTTGATATTTTATATACTAGACTTTTATATCCATTAATTACGTGAGGTTTTTGAGGGATGGAGGGTTCAACAAAAAATCACGTGTATTTGTTTTTTACCTGTTTTTTTAAAAAAAATATCCAAACATTTTCAGAAAAAATCGATGATCCCCCTCCCCGAACAAACATCTTTAGCTGTGAGAAAAAAGTGTGAAATTTTGGATTTTTTTGAAAATGTTTGAATTTGTATATGTATTGTGTATTTATTTTTTACATGATTTTTTTTAAAAAATATCCAAACATTTAAAAAAATCATGATCGATTTTTTAAGGATTTTTGATCCCTCCCCTGCCCTTGGTGATACGTGGTTATATTCAAAATTACCCACCTTCTTCATCAAACATCTTCAGTTACGAGAAAAAATGTAAAATTTTGGATTTTTTTTGAAACTATTTGAATTTTAAAAAAATCCGGTAAAAAATAAATACACGGTGATATCTTACTATACCCCTCCCTCCCCCACGTGATGTTTGTTAAATTCCTTCTCGCCCTAAAAACCTCATATGATTAACGGACGCCCCCCAAGGGCTATTTGCACTTGAAAACATATTGCAATCTAAATTTCCAAGTGAAAACCTATGTCACTACTGCTTGATATCAGGCTGCTCGAAGCACCGGTACTTCTGATTGAAATCCCACCGTTGTAACCACTTGAAAAGGATAGACAAACAAAATAAGAAGCAATTATTCAAAAAGTTAATTACAAATCTTGGTTAACTAGAAAGAAAAATAATAAAAAGATCCGCTTGAAACATCAATTAAAGAAGTCACGATATCTGATCATCCGGCTCGAAGGACCATTTTATGGAGCGCATTCAAAAAATACTAAAGTATATTTAATTAAAACTCAATAATTGACTAATTTACGATGATTTATTAGACATGATCTATAATATTATTTTTATACAACTTTTGTCTTTTATCTGGGGGCGAGTCTTAAAAAAAATTTAAACCAAAAATTCCTTTCCTGTGCCTGTTCCTGCCCTCACTCTCTTTCCTATACTGATACATGGATACAAAGAGGTGCTTATCAGGGACTATATAAACGCACGGATAGCGCCGCGCGAACCAGTCGACGCGACACACGCGACGTGAACGGATATAGTAATAAACAAAAATACAAAATTAATAACAATTATTATTAAAAAAAAGTTTATAAGTCGGTATGGATTTGAAAATGCTGACGAAATAATTACATTGTGAGTTTGTACTGGACTTATAATAGTGATGACTTATTTGATATTTAATACTTAATATTTAATACATAAATAATTAAATTCAAATAGTTATAATTTAAGTTTAAACTAGTTGTGTATTGTCTAAAGTGTCTCAAAGAGATTTCTGTACTGTAAACAAATTGATGATGGTTATTAAATTAAAACAAAAAAGATTTTAAATAAAATAAAAAAAATTATATTTGATAGAATAATTGCTAAATAAAACTATTTGAATAATAATATTATAATAATATAAGATAATATTTTTTTCTAATATAATATAATATAAAATTTGTTGTCTTTAAGACTATTACAAAAATGCTAAATCTAATTTTATGTCCCGTACATTTAAATTGATGTTAAATTTTGTGCAATATTTATAAATTTTGCATTTTTTTGATATTCATATAGAAAACTTTTTTTTTAATTGATACAAAATAATAACTAAATTAAATTAAATTTTGTTTTAATTTGATAAAACTATTAGATTAAATTTAAACAAAATAATAAATAGATCTATATAATTTAAACAATTATTTTTTCACATTTAGAATAAATTTTAAATTTAATAAATAAATAAAATAAATTTCAAATTTTAAATAAATCCAAAAATGTTCAAGTTTTTTAATGAACTTTAAAACTTGAAGTTTTATAAATAAAATATATATGCTGAAGATGTATAAAACTTTACATAAATATAATAAATTATATACTTAATTATAACAATAATATAATAAATTATAATTTTATAAATATAAATTAAAAAAAAGTTTTTAACTAGTTTAAATTGTAATTTTTATAACTATAAATTTTAAAAAAAAGTTTTTTTATAACTAAAAACATGTTACAATGTAACATTTTATTAATTCGAGTTTTGTATTTTCAGATAATATTAATTTAATTTTAATAGTTCTGGCTGTGTTTAATTTGTTATATTAAGTGCTAAAATATTAAGTTTGAGTGTTTCTCAAACTTTAGTGACGCTTTTTATTGTTGAAAACTTTTTAAAATTGATTTCGAAATGACAAATATGAAACAGACTGTGATTAGGTGAGTTGATAAAGAATTATTTATTTAAATAAAAGACAATTTTATTAAAAATTATTATTTTATCCTGAATTCAAAATATTATATTTATATAAATATTATAATCATTACAACATATTTATAATAATATTTTTATAAATTTTAATAATATTATTTATTATTGGAATATTTTTAATTATCATTGTTATGGTTCTTATTAGTATTGTTATTTATAATTATTTTTAATTATGAATAACATATAGTGAAAATTATTATATTTTATTATTTTTAATTATTCAAATATTAATAAATATTTGTATAATAAGTATAAATTGATGCAAAATAATAATAATAAGTATAAATAATTATTAAAACAATTTGTTTACTAAATATTTTGTATTCGTTCATAACACTTTGTTTGTATTATTAATAATAATAATGAGTAAAAAGTGATCTTTATAAACTTGGACCTGCCTTCAGACAAAGCACGAATAATAATAATAATTATAACAGTAATAATAAGTGAAAAAATATTAAATAAACTTTGATAAACTAATAAATCTTTGTATAAACTCTAATGATACTAATAAAAAATTATTCCAATAATAAAATAAAAAACTTCCTACTACTACTAACTAGTCTCGGGTTCTATCCCAACCTCAGCTTGCTCGATATCAAGCAGTATGATAAGAAATTTCTACTTGAAGTCATAGATTTCATAGGGGGCATTGCTGCAACATATATAAACGCCAAGACTATCATATATACATATAGTAGAGATAGGTGGTTGACCATTGGGTTGCCCTGACGAGAAAAATTCTACGTTAGAACTCACAATAGCATATAACATGTATTTCTGATAGCTGTTTAGAGAATTAATAAACAGTATTTTTACGAAATTCCACTCAATTTAGACGATAGTTTAGTATGATAACAAATTTTCACTTAAGGTCATAGATCTCAAATATAATTTCAAGCCTATAGGAGGCATTGCTGCAACGTATTTAAACGTCAACACCATTATAAATATGTATCCCGTAATATATACATATAGTTTACACATTACAAAAAAATGTGATCGACCATTGGGTTGCCTCCATTGAAAAAAATTCTACGTCAGGACCTATAATAGCATATAACACGTATTTTTTATCCCTGTTTACAAAAATAATATAAACAGTATATTTATATGTTATTAACTTACCGTAGGGTAGTTATAGTAATGGGCCGAAAATCGAAAATGAAAATTTTTGCATTTCTCGTTTTAACAAAATAATTGATTTTGGAAAAAAAAATTGTTTCTAATTTTTTTTTCAAAAAATATTTTTGTAATTTTGGATTAAAAATTCAAAAATTACCCAGGCTAAGTACAGTCTAAGCGCCACTTTGGTACAAATGTTTACCCAAGTGCGTTTAGACTGTTTATGTACTGGAGCACTTTTCCAATTTTGTGAAAAACTATTGAAAAATGTGAAAATGCCGCCAAGCTAAGCGCAGTATAAGTGAAAATGTCGCACAGAATTATTTGCAAATGCGTTTAGACTGTGACGATACGGGAGAACTTTTTCAATTTCGTTCAAATTAGGCAACTATTTTTTTTTTAAATTGAATTCGGAATGAAATGACGATTGTTAATGTTCTCGAGATAAATTTATGATTTACATTTGATTTGCTTAGATATAACAATAAGATAGCAAAAATAATGAAAGTTACACAGTATTTGTAATAATATATTTGAAAACGTTTAAAGTTTCTCGAATATTTCATTACGGTACGGGAAGTTCCAGCAATTTTCCATAAGGCACGATGCCATACAGCACTAGTTAACACTATTTTTACCAAATTCCGACAGGAAATAAACAAAGGTGTGATTCCATTCCATTCAATAAATCCATTATCTATCGTTTCCGTGTAATTCTTTATCATCAGGTAACTCTCTCATTGACAGTCTCTGTCATTGTTCTATTTCGCAAGAGCTGGCAACACTGCCACACGTTTGCGATAAGTTTGTTTGATATATTTTTCGTAATAGTGTTGTTTCATTTTGTTTATAAATTATACAGTATATGGTTTATTGTTTATTAATTGTGTATTTATGTTTTTTTGTTCATAACGGAGATTGCCCGCGCGTTTTTGAGACCATTGTTTTTATTAAACAGTTTTTAGAACGAACAATGATAATAGACATATGTGTGTATATATGTATATATATTTATTTATATATATATATATATATATATATATATATATATATATATTCCTTTTTACGGGTGTATGATACGACACTTCTTCTAAACGGTTATTCTAATTTTGATAAATCTTTTTAGAGTTTGTCAAAGGATTTTTTTAAGATTTAAGATTTAAATATACATTTAATGTGAAGATTTCTTTTTTCTGAACTTGTATAATTTTTAAAATAATTTTTAAAATTATTTATTATTCTATGTGCATTTATACGCATCATAGTTTATTCAAATTTTTCAAAGAATTTACATTTTACTTCTGAAACATTTTTTTTTTTAAATCTGTGATTTTCTTAGAAAGAATTTGGAATTCAATATTATACTTAAAGCACTCAGTAGAATATTAGAATTTGGGCATGTTACTTTCTGAAGATACAAATCAGATACTAAAATAAATTTAACTTTGTTAAATTATTTTCAGAACTAGTGGTGCATGACATCGTGCCTTAAGGCAAATTGCCGAAACTTCCCTTATCAGAATTTAAAAAAATATTGACCAATGATCAATAACAATTGTTTAAATTTTAACAATATTCTCAAAGATATAATTATAATTACTATATCTGTATTCGTTCATATAATATAATATATAGTGGCGATCTTATCGCTCAAAACTCAAAACTTGAAAATGTTTACATTAAGAAAAGATCGGAATGAATCCAACTGAGGATATATTTCTTACGATTGCAATAACGCGTATGAAATATATACATTTTTAAACTGAAATGTGAATTTAAAATTGAAGAAAAAAAATTCTGGAAATTTTGAAATTTGTTAAACCGTATAAGTGAACTTTCGAAATTAAAAATCTTGGTACGGAACCCAACAGAATTTTAACATTTGTTCTATTATTAAAGTCTCTATAAAGTATATGATAATTTGATGTGCATATCAAAGCATTTAAGATCATTTTAGACTGCTAAATATCATTGTTGTTTACATTTTCTTCAGTATCTCCAAAACCGCTAGACCTGCCTTACCTTAAAAATTTATTCAATTCTTCATTTCATCAATACAAGTAAATTTTTTTTAAATCATTAAAATATATAAACTTTTTGCGCCGTATTTTTGAGATGGCTGGACCTGCCTTTACCAAGAACTAATCAGCACGTCTCCTCATCAGTAACAATCGAATGTTTTTTGAATCATTTGAATCGGTTGATCGATGCGCCTGAAATCGTGGACGAAAAATTGTATCCAAACATATACACACACATATGGAACATACATTCATTTTGTCTAATGTATGCCGAAAATGTTCAGAAACCTTTGAAACGTAAATATATGCAAAACTTTTCATTTTAAATTTTTTTGCGATTACTATAACTTACCCAACGGGAAGCTAATTAATATATATTCATTTGACAAAATTTTAAAATCAAATTCTGTATTTTGTATTTGTAGAATTTAATATTTATATATAGAAATGCTTAGTAAAATATTATATTTTATGTCATATTATGAAATATCACCTATTCCAAATATAAAGTCATGTATTTCTAAATAATTTTCTATGATTTATAACAGTGTAAATTAATTATTTAAAAAAATCTTTAACCGGTGCTGTTCAATTTTTGGCGTTTTTATTAAAAACTTAACCCTTTCTACTCGGATTCCGGCAAAATTCATATAAATCTCGGAATTAGCGAGTGGAAAGGGTTAACTTGGCCATAGAGTTTTTGGTCGAAAATCCTATAATTTCATAGGCCTACTAAATGTGGTTGATTTTTAAAAATTTTATGTGAGATCAATATTGTTTACCTATATGGGAACCATATTGATAAATATTATTTACCCCATATTATGCTAAGGGGCTAAATCTCAATTATCATCGATTAAGTCGATTATTTAGACATATGAGGAAGTTCTTGTACCTTTCCTTAATCAAAAGTGTCACTTGCACCTAGTTAATCTTTTTTTTCACCAATTTTGCAAAAATCCGTCACTGTTTTTCGCAAATCATCTATATTTGCCATAAAGGTTAGCAAATATCATCGAACATTCGCGCGGGCGCGCCTTCTAACCCACTTTAGAAAAATTCAGAACGATTTCTAACAAAACTATTCTACCAATACACTGTATCACTATTATTATTATTACTATTATTATTATTGTTACTATTACTATTATTATGGTTGTTGTTCGCATGGACGATTCGATTTGTAACAGACACATTATTTTCTACTCCATTTGCGAAAAGAATTGATTTATGCAATGATTTTTTTCATAGAGCGTGCATAATAATAAATATTATCTATGGGATCAAAGATTATTATGTAATGATGCAGAATGAAAGTTCTGGTTTATAAAAAAATATTTATAGTTGCATCATAACTATATGTATTATGGAAACAAATACTTGATTTTTTTATTTACTTATTTAGTATGGATAATACATAAAGTCAATTCGAAAGATGCCATTTTGGGTGAATTGTGATGATTAGATTTTGGTAAAGATGAGGTCGTTCCTTTGTAATTAATTGTAGACCTTTTTTTGGAAATTTCAATAAAACATTGTATGACAATAGATGATCTTAACGAACATATTTAAATACTATGAGCTTATAAAAATTGATTTAATTATAAAAAATATTAATATTTAGAATAATGGGACACGTCAAAAAATTGTCAAAATTTTTAAGCTTTCTAAATCTGAATTCTTATTGATTAAATCGATTATTTATATATATCGGGAAATTTACACAAGTAGGTTGATCTATCAATTTGCTTTAAAGTTTATTATGCCATACACCACTAGTTTAATTTAATAAATCGTAAATC